TATTTGTTCTTAATTATAAATTATAATCTATTGTTTTTCATTATCTGTATTTTCTGTATATTATTATTATTATAAAATCTGCATTTTACCGGCATTGCACTTTAGCGGCTTCGTGTTTCTGTCACAGAACACGGCACCGACAGACCAAAAGTTAGTCACAGAACACGAGACCGCCGACCTGCAATCGCCGATAAATCGGGTATATAAGGCCCGGCGGATTGACTACCATCTTCACTCCACTTCTTTCTGACGTAGTAAGACCCACCCGGGCAGACTGACGTGACTCAGAACGAAGTTCTCCCACGCCTAACTCAGCGATCAGTTTGTGAGACTGCTAATGGTTCAATAGTCAGGTTTCTGGCATTGAATCAGGGTCTCACCTATTGGACTATGGTGCAATAGTCAGCGATCTGGCATTGCATCGTCCGTAAATCGTTCGCTGAGCTCTCGTCTCAAGTCCGAACTCCTGAGTGATCGTCGTCGCCATCGTCGTACCGTTTAGTGACCGCCATCGACATCGTCTTACCGTTTCGTCGTCTTTAAAGTCCGCGGTCATTGCGACCGAACAGTGCGTGTACCTTTTATATAACCCGGTCATTGTGACCAAGTCAATTATGTTTTTTTTCTCTCTTAAACGAATTGTTGTAAATATAAACCCCTTAGTAAAAACTTGTAGTACCTTTTTTTCCTTTTTTTGTAACCTCCAATTCTATACAGTAGCAGAAAAACAGAAACGACTACCGAGTTTTCAGGCAAAATTTGATACTGCTTACGAACTGATCAAAAATGATGAACGTGGTCTGCCAACCAGCTGCCAGAGGAACGAATTCACAAACCAGTATATTCAAAACTATGATTTCAATTATTATTCCCATTAACAAAACGATGACACATCATTTTTGTATGAAATATTGCAATACCATTTCAATACAATGTCCGAGTTTATATTACAGGATTTATTAATATGAATACAAATGTATATATATATAATATGTATTGTATATTGATTAAAGCTTATTTTTTTATGTGTAACAATCAAACTGCAATTTTGCTTTTAATTGTTCCACGGTCTGGGTCCTGCAGCAGTGTATCAAATATCACTTTCATTGTCTGATTCAAGCTGTTGTTCAACGTCTGATCTTTCGATTTATCGCTTGTGAAGACCTTTTCCGACGCTTCCAAATGACGCCATCTGTAAACATAACATAGTAAAATAGAATCATCCCAGATAGCAAGAAAATATTTTTTTGAAGATATATAAATCTTATTGGTGTAATGTACATCATTAAATAAACATTTTTTTTTAACCATGGAATTAGTTACAAAAATGTTTTAATATTGTTAATAAAATAATGGTTGGCCACTGAAGTGACATTCTAATAACTATTTTGTAAATGTAATTTGCAGTAACGACACCAGTTACTTTTAGGACGGTTTACACGCAACGACTTATTGTACGTTTTATCGGACATTACAAAACGTACATTTTATGGAGTGTCTACACGCTCCGTTTATTACTCAGTTATCCTGCTCAGTTACTGTATTTCAGTTGTTTCTGTTCAGTTTTTTGTCAGTGATTTTTTGACGATATGGAAGAAGCACTGTTGTGGTTTTTTACTATAATATATATCCCTAGTACGGGTGCATCAACTTATGAGGAAAAAAAAGGAAAATAGAAGAAAGTGGTCAAGAAAATGGCTTTTAAAAAGAAGCCAGTACTCCCACATAAATTTATTGAAAGAATTGAGTATTAATGATAATAATGATTGGCGCAATTATTTGCGTATGGACGTTACCACTTACAATCGATTGTTGGAACTAGTAACGCCATACATAAAGAAAGATGACACTTGTATGAGAAAAGCTATTTCACCACACGAAAGACTTTTGGCAACTTTAAGGTTCCTCGCTACAGGGAGAAGCTACAAAGACTTGGAGTTCACAACCATTGCATCTAAATCAAGTTTGAGCAGAATAATTCCTGAAACATGTAATGCAATCTACTAGGTTTTAAAAAAGGATTACTTAAAGGTAAGTAAATACTGAATATTTTATTATTATGAAGTATTAACTTTAATTTTTTAATAACAAATTGAAAACATACAAAATTAATTACAAATAAATTGAATTTTTAGTCAAAATGATGAATTTTTTTTATATAAAAAAGAAAAATAATACTTAGATGATCTTAATAGTGTGAGAAATATTTCTTGACATTATCATAGCATAAAAGTATAGTAGTCTTAGACATTTTCACCTGAAAAAACGGTTACATATTCTGCCAAGGCTGAAGTGACGGCTGATTCTGTTTCGAGTTGGTTTGTGTTTTGTTGAAGTGCTCCGGTATGGAGATATCCAAGCTGACGAGGAAATTCAGTTTGTGGTTGATGGTATAGAAATGAAGCTGGTTGAGTGTTAGTGACGGTGGATCGTGTTTCGAGTTGGTTTTTAGTTTGTTGGAATGCTCCGGTATGGAGATGTTCAAGTTCACGAAGAGGTTCAGTTTATGGTTGTTGGTATTGAAATGTCTGATATATATTATTATGTGAAAACTGATACTGTTGAAATCGAGGTGGAAAAGTGTGCTGTATAGGTACAGATGGACGGGAGTAAATCTCTTTCTCCTCCATATCAACTACTTTGCAGTTTCTGTTAAGGGTTTCCATTTCACCTTCAAATAAAATATTACCTATCAATTTTTGAACAAATTTTATTTGATTTGGATTGATCTGCCCAAGTCGATCAGCGATGTGTTTGCCATATCTGTCAAATAAATCATCGGAAGAGATAGATTCTAATCGCTTCTCAGCCTTTGTCAACACATCCTCCGCTTTTTCATTAGTCGTACGTGCTTGCCTCTTTCGAGATGATCCCCGTGACTGATATGTAATGGACGACGAAGTACTCCGATTGGCTGAACTTTCTGCTGGAGTAGATGGATTGTCAGTATGTTCTTGATAACTTTGATTCTCAATTTCGTTAAACTAGAAAAAAAAATATTCTGAGAAACATATTAGTTACTCACTTACACTCAGACACACTGTTCCCCATAGGCTGTGAATAATACTCACTTATTATTCTATTAAACGTCAAATCATTCCGTACAGAAATATTTATATATTTTAAAAATTTGTTGATAAGAAACGAACATTTTAAAATTAAAAATAATTTATATTATTTTAGTTTAAAAATATATATTACAATATTTTCCCTGAATATAGACATATGTCAGGTCTTCATTAAAATTTGAATTAAATACCTACACTATTTTATGATTTTTAGTTTCCTAAAAATTCTAAGGATTGGCTGGACATTGCAGGTGATTTCGAAAACAAGTGGCAGTTCCCTCACTGCCTTGGTGCGATTGACGGGAAACATGTTCAAATAATTCCCCCCAAGGACAGCGGATCTTACTATTTCAATTATAAGAAAACTCACAGTATAGTCTTGATGGCTATAGCGAATGCGAACTGTGAATTTATTTACTGCAGTGTAGGTACTAATGGCCGTGTTTCTGATGGTGGTGTACTAAATCATACAAATTTTTATGAAAAACTCATTAACAACGGCTTGCAAATTCCAGAACCTACACAGCTTCCACAATCAAATCGGGTTCTCGAGTATGTTTTTGTGAGTGATGAGGCTTTTGCGATGCGACCAGATCTTATAAAACCTTATAACCGAGACTCTCTAAATAAGGAAAGAAGAATTTTCAACTACCGCTTGTCTATGGCGCGCCGTGTAGTTGAAAACACTTTTGGAATTTTAGCTTCAAGATTTCGCATCTTCCACACATCAATTAATTTAAAAGTAGAAAACATAGAGACTGTCGTTTTAGCATGTTGTGTTTTGCACAATTTTTTGCGTAAAATATCACCACAAAGTTATACCCCTCCTGGATGTATGGACACTGAAAATATTATTAACCATTGTGTGGAATTAGGAGAAAGATGTGATCATGAAAGGATGCATAACCTACAACGTAATATGTGGGGCCAACAATTAGAAAGCGCCAAGATTGTGAGACAGAACTTCAATGAGTATTTCAATCAAGAAGGATCCGTAGCATGGCAAGAAAAAAATATATCTGTTCAGCATTAAGTTGTCAACAAATAATATTAATGGTGTATTATAATGATTACTTGTATTTTTATTTTCATTCCTAATTTTCTACCTAAGTTTTGTTAAACTCTTTCTGAATATACTCTTATTATATAAGTATGCAATAATTAAGCAATTTAGAATAAATAATAAAACAAAATGTACAATAATACATTGTCTATTAAAGTTTAAGATAAAATTATAATTATTTTTTTTATTTTTAGGTATTTTGTTTTTGTATAGTATCACAGTCACATAAATACACTATATAGGTATCCTCACTTATTCATTTAATATTCCCTCTAAATTGTCTTCAATTTATTCATAAATTAGAAATGTTAAATTAAGCTATTTTTCGGAAAAAAATTAAATAAAGATTGCTTAATGATATTCCTTTTTCCAAATTTTATATACAATTTGTATTATAAAAATAAAAGTATCACCTGTCTTTTGACAATACATTACTTATTTAATAAATATAAATATTAAATCGTTCACTTACCTCTTCATCTATACCAACAGACACAGCGTCTTCGTCATCAATCGTTTCGCGAGGTGTTCTTGGAATGTCTTGATCATTTAAAAAATTGAAAAGATCGAAATACCACAAGACTGGTTTGTATATGTCATCCTCTCCAGCCCCAGAGGTGGCTGATTTTTTTAATTTAGCAAGCTTCTTCTTATAAACCGTTCTCAAGGAATTAACCTTCTTACTAACTGTTTCTTTGTTTGCCGAAGAGTCAACTTCTCGAAATTTTTTTATAAGTTACTCATAAGCCAAATATTTTTTATGCTTATCACTGTAATCCTTGCTTTTTACTTGCCATAGACAAGGAAAACTTTTGTACAATTCAATAAATTCTGCGAGAAATTCGTGGGAACATTGGCGTAAATCAGACATGTTCGCAAAAAACAAAAAAGTTTGTAGGTCAAGCTGAAACTTGGTCTAGGAGAGAACTAAACGAAAATTGGACGAAAAGTTGTACAATGCGTCGAACCTGTGTTTACATGTTACGGCTTGTCGTTCAATTTCGCGGAAAATGATTCCAAACCCATCAGTCTTTCGATCCAATCTTGGATTTCATTCCGATTCGATAAGACGTACGATTTGCTGTATACACGCTCCGTTTTACTAGATACGTTTTGTCGTTTTCGATAAAACGTACAATAAGTCGTTGCGTGTAAATCGTCCTTTACAATGACTAATGACAAATACGACATTCACAGTCACCACGATTATAATTCACATTAGATATCAAAAGTAATTAAGATAAAAAACGGACTATGTACGATTAAAATATAAACCGTGTCGGTGGGGTATATTTCTATTTACATCCATGACTACGGTTTATTATAGTAGTAACTTTAAGGGCTTTGGGGCACGGGTTAAACTTATCCGATTATATAACAATTTTGAATACATCATTTGTATACATATTGGAACTTTTTTATAGGCATCGATCATAAATAATCAAAAAAAAAATTCCCTATACATAAGAACCACCACAAGGGACATATTACCACTTTGGTCTGTTGAATGGAATCAAAAATAATTTTCCAAAATTGTCAAAAGGTGAGACAGATATCTGCATTGTGGTAGGAGTTGATGGCTTACCATTATTTAAAAGTAACCAGGAACAATTCCGACCAATACTGGCATACATCCGTCCAGAAAGCCATAATGTGTTTCCAATAGGTATTTATTGTGGCAAAGAAAAACCAGCCGATAGCAATGCATTTATGAAAGAATTTATTAATGATGCTAAACTTTTGAAAGATACTGGAATTTTAATAAATAACAAAGTTTATAATTTGAAAATTGATAGCTTTTGCTGTGATGCCCCGGCAAAGTCTTTTTTATTGAAGACTAAGGGTCATTCAGGATTTTATTCATGATCAAGATGCGAACACGAAGGAAAATATTTATTAAGGGGCCTCGCTACTGTTATAATTTAAGGAGCAACATTTAGGCAATTTCTAATCTCATCATAACCGCCTGGTATCTATGTGTTAGTAGTAAATGATTATTAGTATGAGTGAGACTAAATGTGGGTACTGCTACCAGGGGGCCAATTCTTGAAATCTTGCGACTAATTCTCGCATGCGATAAAAGTCATAGATTTTATCGAAGGTGACTAATTCTTATCGCACGCGACATAAAATCGGTATTCTTGAACAGAAATCGATAAGATTTTATCACTTGTCGCATGCGATAAAGTAATCGAATGAACCACTGTGGTAATAACAGAAAATCTAGATTCTAACCTCAAACAAATTATAGAACTTAAAAATATTAACAATTAATGGCTGCGGCTGTAAGTTGTCTAGTATCAGACTATTACTATCTCATATTCTCATTCAATTACCAATATTGTGTTTTGTGTACTGTGTAGTTACTTTTTTTTTGTACTTATTACTACTTAGTTAGTTTTGTACTTGTAGTTTGTTGTTTTTTTTTTGTAAGAACTAAGCAGAATGTCAAGATCTCGACCCTCCCAAAATCAAATGAAACTTTTGGTTGAACTCATGGCCAAAGATCCCCAATTGTGTTCCTGCAAATTTACACCATCGTTTACTCATAAAATAGCGAGAGAGAAATGGGAAAATATAACAGTGCAAGTAAATTCGTTGCCAGGAGCCCAAAAGAGTTGGGATAAATGGAAAAAAGTAAGATACTTCTTCTTATACGTGTTTGTCAATATTATGAGTAATTGTTGTAGAGTACTAGTGCCCATCTGCATAGTTAATGTATGTGTCACATAAATTGACTATATATATGGACATATCTGTATTTTTTTCTTTGTAGTCATGGCAAGATACAAGATCAGCCACCAAAACTAAAGCGGCCGCTATAAAACGTCATATATCGGGTACCGGTGGAGGTCCATCTTGTACCATTGAATTAAGTGAAATTCAAAAAGACGCATTAAGTTTAATGAGTCAAACATCTATAAGTGGCCACATACAATCATCAGAATCACTTGTTGACTTTGACTTTAATGATGATTCTACAGAAATTGTATTAATTGGTAAATTTGTAAAATGAGTAACTAAATATTCATTGAATTGAAAAATTATAGTTTTAATAATGTGCTCTGTTTAGGTGATGATGAACTATGTAACGAATCGAAGTGGATTTCGGAGTCAAGTTCTGATAACATTAATTGTATGTATTACAAATTTGGTTATTCAATGTTTACGTTTTTAGCAAATTTTTCATTAATTGTTATATTATTATAGTTTATAATGAGAATGAAAATATTCAAATGCCAACATCCATTGCTCCTAATCCAAGTAATATTCTTAC